CCCATCCGAGTGAAGGCGCTTGACCTTGCGGTCAAAGGTGGTCTGTGCCTGCTTGACCCACGCTATGATGACCTCTGGAGCCTCAGCCTTAGTGTGGAGGAGGTGAACAGAGACGTAGCGGGAGTGGTCATCCACAATAATAAGGAAGTAGCGATAGCCACCTCGTGCGAGAACAGGGGCAGGGCCCCAGACGTCCATGTGCACGAGGTCCAGTGGTGCTGCAGCGACTGTGGGTGAGGCAGGATGGGGCTGTTGGCGCAGTTTGCTCTTGGTGCAATCAAGGCACGTGGGAGCTGGTGAGTCAGGTGGTGGAGGAAGTGCGGCTGGCAGGCCGAGGAGAAGTTTCTTGGAGGCCATGTCAGCAAGGGTACGAGAGGAAATTTGGGTGCCCGAGCCGATGGTGGTAGAGGATGGTCGGGTTGGAGAGGGTGCGACATGAGCATGGTGTGATAGTGGCCTGTGCTTGGGTGGTTGACACCTGTGGGAGAGGGACGCGTAGCGTGTAGAGGCCGTTGCTGTTGAGGGTGTAGCGGGCCAGAGTTTTGTTGGTGCGTGGATCGATGATGTCGCAATAGTCCTCGTTCTCTGGGAAGATGGTGCGTAGCCCCGCCTCCTGAATTTCTGTTTGGGCAACTAGATTGTGACGCAGTGAAGGCACGCACATGCCAGTGACAGTGCCGGATGGGAAGGCGGGGCATGGGACTGTGGAGGTACCCTTGGCGAGGGTGGTGAAGCTTGAGTCAGCTCCTAAGAGAGGGATAGGTGTTGGGTAAGGTTTGAAGGAGAAGGTCTCCTTGAGCACGGTGTGAGTGGCCCCGCTATCGAGTGTGAACTCTATGTATTGTGGTGCCTGTGATGAGCCGATGTACTGGGAGGTTGCTTCATTAATCATGGCAGTGCCAGGGAACAACAGGTTGATACGCACATCAGCAGGAGCACTATCACTAGCACTAGTCGAAGCGGGGTCCTGGACCTCAACTAGGTTGGCCTTACGAGGGCGCATCCAGTTTGGCGGCTTCTTGTCAACTCCGTGGAGGGCATACCACTCGTCGTCTTTCTTCTTGAAGCACGTAGCAAGGGGGTGGTTAGTGCCACCACACACTTGTCCCTTGCGGTTGCCATACTTGACGACGTAGGGGCACGGAGGAAAGCGGTTGCGCTGGAAGGGCGCCGAGGCGAGAGCCGCTGCGACACTTGCTTGGGGCATGGGAGCGCGGATGGCGTACGCCTTGGCCTGAGCCGTGGAGTCTTTCTCGGCAGAGAGGAGTGCGGTGGAGACCTTAGAAAAGGTGAGGTCTTCCGCTGAGAGCGTGAGGAGCATCTTCCTCGTGACTTCATATGCCGAGGTGAGTCCAACAAGAAGGGCGGCTGCAGGGGCTTGCTCGGGGAAGACTATACCCAGCTCCTTGAGTTCGCCATGAATGGTCTGCACCTTGGCAATGTAGTCGGCCATTCCCGAGCAGTCCTCAAGACGGACCTGAAACATGCTAGGGATGAGAATGGCCACGCCGACCGCCGTCTTGTTCATGAACCGATCCTGGAGGTACTTCCAGATGGCGTTGGAGGTAGGGTAGTTATGGAACGTGTTGACAAGTTCGGGAGGGGTGGAGGCGATGAAGACGCTGATGATGGCAGCATCGGCCTTCTCCCATTTCCGGTACTTCTCAACAGCTTCCTCGTACGCCCTCACGTCAGTGTCACTTGCGGATTCGGTCGGCTCACGGGGGAGAGTAGGCTGCTTCCCCTTGCCACGGTTGAGGAGGACGTCCTTGAGGTCAAGGCCCTGCACGTCTCTGATACCATGTCAGAGATAGGCTTAGAACTGATACATTAGTAATGAGCTTGAAGCTCTTTAAGTACATCCAAGAGGGGTAGGAAAAGGATGGGGAAGGGAATCGGGGGCAATCTCTAGGGATTGGGGGTAATCCCAAGGCAATCTCCAATTGGTGGGTTGGAGATTGGTTGGAGATTACATTTGGGTTTGGTTGGGATGTAGGTGTACACCCAACCAAACACAATGTGCAAACTACACTACTCTAGGATATAGAAAATACAAAGTACAAATTGTGAGATTGAAGACTAACACTAACACATATCCCCCTCTTCTGCCACTCGTTTGACCATCTCCCCTCTTCTGCCACTCGTTTGACCATCTCCCCTCTTCTGCCACTTGTTTGACCATCTCCCCTCTTCTGCCACTCGTTTGACCATCTCCCCTCTTCTGCCACTCGTTTGACCATCTCCCCTCTTCTGCCACTCGTTTGACCATCTCCCCTCTTCTGCCACTCGTTTGACCATCTCCCCTCTTCTGCCACTCGTTTGACCATCTCCCCTCTTCTGCCACTCGTTTGACCATCTCCCCTCTTCTGCCACTCGTTTGACCATCTCCCCTCTTCTGCCCCTCATTAGGGCTCCACTCCCTCACAGAAGGCACGTCCGCCAGCTCATACACACCGCGTATTCCCCCCTGCCTCACCCACGGAATCCGCATTCCAACACAAGGTGAGTCAGCCTTATTCCTCCCTTCCCTGCCCTGCCTTTCCCCTCCGCCCTTCCCTCCCTGCCCTGCCTTTCCCCCACTACGTGGCAATTTGTCATGAGCCCTGCCATTAACACTTGGTTGGAGTAACCCAACCAAGGCCTTGAGCTCAAATAAGTTGTTCATCTGAACTGAAAATCGGATCTTCACAGGAGCTGTCACGACTAACCACTGGTGGTAATTCTGCTCGGGGGTCTTTGCTTTTAACAATTCTCAAAATACGTGAAGGATGAGATGTCTCCAAACACTTCTTTCTGCTCGGGGGTTGTGTTCCTGGACCAGCTTAGATGGAAGTCCAGGGCTGGTTGGTAAAGTGAGTGAAGGGTCGATCTTGGGCTTCTACAATAGAATTGTAGCATCGCAGTTACATTCTATGCTCTGTAAGACGCTTCGTTTGCAATTCGTGAGGTTGCATTACACGGCACATACTTGTGAGAATATTTCGGCAATCACCAGCACTCAGCTGAGGCCCTGAATAAAACGTGGGTTGTTTTAGCTCATTATCTCCTTTCCAAACAGCAGTGCGACCAGCAGCGAGAGCCAACACCAGAACCGAGTCCAGAAGCGTTTTTACTATTCTCGAAGAAGCTTTAATGAATGACTTTGCATGTCTCACTCCCTCATACCTCTAAGCAAAGAGCAGGCTGTGAAGAGATGGCAAGAATGAACGGTGGGCTGAACGGTGGGCTGGGCAATGAGGTCCGAGATATGCCACGCACTGGCCACATCATTAACGCTGACCCTGTCGTGCCAAGACAGAAGGCTAAACTTGCTGCGGCGCTTAAGATTCTCCTCATTGGAGACAGTGGTACGTATTTGCGAGGTTATCTTATCAATGCATGTTATTGTACCCCTCTTGCGTGAATTGCAAGAGTTTCCTATCTATTCGTGGTTTATATATATACACAATATATACTTTCTTTTCTATATCGCATTAACAACTACTTAATATGCAGAACAAGAATTGAAGCCGTGGAGCCAAAGCCTGCCTTTTGTATAAATCCTTGCTCTGCATTCTATATTCTTCCATACGGTCATGACAGCTGTGGGAAAGAGCAGTCTTCTTCTTCTTCGGTTTTCAGAGGACCTATTCAATAGCGACCTCACATCCACTATTGGGAATGAGCAAGACAGATCTTCCTTTCCCCACTTCCCCTTCTTGTCGTATTCTTTCCTGCCCCACATTTACCATTGGGTATGAGCAAGACAGAATTTCCTTTCCCCACTTCCCCTTCTCCCACTATAATTCTCGTATTCTTTCCCAACCCCATCCCTTTGGTCTTTCCCTCTCGTTCCTTCCCGCTCTTTCCTCTCTCTCTCGCTCCCACGCAGACCAGCACACATAAGAGCATTTATGCACACCAAGACTCACTTTTCCACACCCACATGCTCAGAAGTTATTCAAGTTCAGACCCACTCTCACCTACACACGCAATTAGACTCTTACTGTGGTAGGTGAATAATGATGCATACTCAAGACTGTGAATTCTTATTATGTAGAAACTCCTTACCCTCCCTCTCCTGACTGCAGCGTTGACTTCAGGACCCGCACGATGGAAATTGATGGTGAACCGGTGAAGATGTCTATATGGGATACGGCGGGGCAGGAGAAATTTCGCACCATTACTGAAGGTAGATAGCCGGTAACTCGTGTTCTGTAGTTCTTGTTCGAACAACATGCCAGCTATATCCCTGTTCTTGTTGCTGAACGAAATTGCCGAGGCTGTTGAATGTTTCTTGCACAAATGCACATCCAAGCCAGCTATATCTGTCACAAAAGTAATTTTTGATCCATTACCTGGGCAGGGTTACACACCATTCCTAATGTGCCCTTTCATCTTGCTCTTTGCAGCCTACTATCGGAACGCTCATGGAATCCTGCTTGTATATGACATCACCGACCAATCATCTTTCAACAGTAAGCACTCTTTCATAAAACCGTTCATTTGTGTGATTCCATTCTTACTTAGCTGCTGTTCTGTGCACGGCTGTGCTGTGTAGATGTGCGAGAGTGGATCGACAACATTGAGAAGCATTCGACTCGAGGGGTGCGGGTGGTTCTTGTCGGCAACAAGGTTGACATGGACGACCATAGGGTATGTTATTCAACACAATGTACAAGGTGTGAGAATCCCATAGTTGGGATTAGGGGGTGAACTCAAGAGTTGGTATATTGATAAAGAAGAGCAGTACAAATAGGGAATGGGAAGAGTGACCAAAATCAGAGTTACCCCACACCATTATTGGTTGACCAATGTGGTGAGGGTCCAGCCCAATAATTGAGGTTGAGTCAATTATTGGAGGGGCCAAACATTGGAGGGGTTGGCCACCAATGTTGGCTCCCCAACAATAATGGTCGCCTGGGTTGTGGAAACCCAACCAAAAGTTGGGAGACCACCTCAATGTGTACACCCATGATTTGGGTGTACACTATTAGTTCTAGCCATATACATGCTATATTCTAACACAACCCCTTAGCATGAGAATGGCTAGACCAAACAACCCCTGAAGCGAGGACCCGGTAATAGATGCGGCGAATGACGCGGCATGCCAGCTGAAGGTGCTGTGACGGTGAGGGCGCACACCAGCAGGGAGGGGGGGGCTGCTGCAGGTGAGGAAGCAAGCCAGCCGAAGGTGTTGCGGCGGTGAGGTCGCACACCAGCAGGGAGGGGGGCCTGCTGCAGGTGAGGAAGCAAGCCAGCCGAAGGTGCTGTGGCGGTGAGGTCGCACACCAGCAGGGAGGGGGGGGCTGCTGCAGGTGAGGAAGCAAGCCAGCCGAACGTGCTGTGGCGGTGAGGTCGCACACCAGCAGGGAGGGGGGGCTGCTGCAGGTGGCGAAGGGAGACGGCGGCGGCAGCGGGAGGTGGCAGAGCAGGCCACTACGAGGTGGGGTAGGAAGCGTTGGCGACCACGAGATGGCAGGGCGGTGAAATGGCCACGAGATGGCTGCGGGAGAGCCGCGGCGGCGAAGGGAACGGCGGCGGCAGCGGGAGAGCTGCGGCGGCGAAGGGAACGGCGGCGGCAGCGGGAGAGCTGCGGTGGCGAAGGGAACGGCGGCGGCAGCGGGAGAGCTGCGGCGGCGAAGGGAACGGCGGCGGCAGCGGGAGAGCTGCGGCGGCAAGGGAACGGCGGCGGCAGCGGGAGAGCTGCGGCGGCGAAGGGAACGGCGGCGGCAGCGGGAGAGCTGCGGCGGCGAAGGGAACGGCGGCGGCAGCGGGAGAGCTGCGGCGGCGAAGGGAACGGCGGCGGCAGCGGGAGAGCTGCGGCGGCGAAGGGAACGGCGGCGGCAGCGGGAGAGCTGCGGCGGCGAAGGGAGGAGGGCTGGGAGGCCCGTAGGAGGAGGAAGCGAGGGGGAAGGGGGAGGAGGGCTGGATGGCCCGAAGGAGGAGGAAGCGAGGGGGAAGGGGGAGGAGGGCTGGATGGCCCGAAGGAGGAGGAAGCGAGGGGGAAGGGGGAGGAGGGCTGGATGGCCCGAAGGAGGAGGAAGCGAGGGGGAAGGGGGAGGAAGGCTGGATGGCCCGAAGGAGGAGGAAGCGAGGGGGGAAGGGGGAGGAGGGCTGGATGGCCCGAAGGAGGAGGTAGCGAGGGGGGAAGGGGGAGGAGGGCTGGATGGCCCGAAGGAGGAGGAAGCGAGGGGGAAGGGGGAGGAGGGCTGGATGGCCTGAAGGAGGAGGAAGCGAGGGGGAAGGGGAGGAGGGCTGGATGGCCCGAAGGAGGAGGAAGCGAGGGGGAAGGGGGAGGAGGGCTGGATGGCCCGAAGGAGGAGGAAGCGAGGGGGAAGGGGGAGGAGGGCTGGATGGCCCGAAGGAGGAGGAAGCGAGGGGGAAGGGGGAGGAGGGCTGGATGGCCCGAAGGAGGAGGAAGCGAGGGGGAAGGGGGAGGAGGGCTGGATGGCCCGAAGGAGGAGGAAGCGAAGGGGAAGGGGGAGGAGGGCTGGATGGCCCGAAGGAGGAGGAAGCGAGGGGGAAGGGGGAGGAGGGCTGGATGGCCCGAAGGAGGAGGAAGCGAGGGGGAAGGGGGAGGAAGGCTGGATGGCCCGAAGGAGGAGGAAGCGAGGGGAGGTGGGTTGGATGGCCCTTAGAAGGGGGGCGGAAGCGTGGTGACGATGCGAATGAATGAGCTGACGGGCGAAATGCCCTCGGGAGCGGGATTGACGGGCGGAATACCCTTGGGAGCGGGATTGAGGGTCGAAATGCCCTCGGGAGCGGGATTGACGGGCGGAATGCCCTCGGAAGCGGAATTGACGGGCGAAGTGGTAGGCGCGGTAGTTGCGTTGATCGGCGCGGACGTCCCGCTGCTCGGCGCGTTCGTCGCGCGGGTCGGCGCGTACAAGCGCCTCAAAAGCCACAGGGAAAAGCCTAAGGGAGGGGAGCAGGCTGATGGGGCAAAGACCATGAAGCTGGCAAGAGGCCGAGGATCTCCTAGGGAGGGAGAAGGTGGCGTTAGCCAAAATAGCTCTATACCATGTGAGAATCCCATAGTTGGGATTAGGGGGTGAACTCAAGAGTTGGTATATTGATAAAGAAGAGCAGTACAAATAGGGAATGGGAAGAGTGACCAAAATCAGAGTTACCCCACACCATTATTGGTTGACCAATGTGGTGAGGGTCCAGCCCAATAATTGAGGTTGAGTCAATTATTGGAGGGGCCAAACATTGGAGGGGTTGGCCACCAATGTTGGCTCCCCAACAATAATGGTCGCCTGGGTTGTGGAAACCCAACCAAAAGTTGGGAGACCACCTCAATGTGTACACCCATGATTTGGGTGTACACTATTAGTTCTAGCCATATACATGCTATATTCTAACACAAGGAACCATGTTCTTGCCTGTTTTGAACGCTGCCTCCCTATAAACTTCTGAAGCAAAAGCCCCACATTTAACCCTGCTCTCCCCTGGATTATGAGAAACTGAAACCAACACTGGAAAGAAGAGAGGCAGGCACAAGCAGCCCTTAAGTAGGCCGGGAGGGCAGAGGGCAGAGGGGAGAGGCAGAGGGGAGAGGCAGAGGGCAGAGGGCTAAGGTGTCTCTCTCTCTCTCTCTCTCTCTCTCTCTCTCTCTCTCTCTCTCTCGCTCTCTCTCTCTCTCTCTCTCGCTCTCTCTCTCTCTCTCTCTCTCTCTCTCTCTCTCTCTCTCTCTCTCTCTCTCTCTCTCTCTCTCTCTCTCTCTCTCTCTCTCTCTCTCTCGCTCTCTCTCTCTCTCTCTCTCTCTCTCTCCTCTCTCTCTCTCTCTCTCTCTCTCTCTCTCTCTCTCTCTCTCTCTCTCTCTCTCTCTCTCTCTCTCTCTCTCTCTCTCTCTCTCTCTCTCTCTCTCTCTCTCTCTCTACTCTCTCCCTCTCTATGATCTTTCTCACACTTCCACGCTCGCCGTCCTTCATGTGCATCAGGTTATCAGCAGGGAACAAGGGCAGCAACTGGCTCACGAGTTTAAAGTCAGCTTTATTGAGACAGTAAGTTTTTTTTTGGTAGGTATCCCAAAGGTGACCTTGCGGCATCTTTTTGCGGCCAATTTTTTTGGGATGTTAGGCGCTAGCCCGTCCAGGCCAGCTGCGCCGTAGCCTTGTTTCAGCTAACCACCACAATGAATCGGCGAAGAAAAAAGATAAAACGCACATTGCGAGGGTTGGAGCTTGATGCGCGCCTGACTCGCCGTTGCGGTCGCAGCCACCTGGCGCGGGCGACGACTCGTGGAAGGCGGGCGACTAATCTGTTGATTAGGAACTTGACATTCACATAACTGAGGACAGCCTTGTTTCTTAAGCCCTAATATTGCATTCCTCATGGACTGTGTCATAATCGGCTGTTCATACTGGTGAAACCCCAATCTCTACCCTGTTTTACTCTATCCAGTCTGCTAAAGCAGGAATCAACGTGGAGGAGGCATTCCAGTGCATAGCCAAGGAGGGCAAACAACTATACGATAGGATGCACTCTCGACAACGTGAGGTGTGCACTGTCCCAGTCTCGTGTATCTGTTGCAAATGTTATCTTTTACCACATGGTTTTGCAAGGCTTTACAAGTATACCAGGTTTGACGTGTATACTACAACGTTATCACAGAATGTATATGAACAAGGCAGCAATGACTGCCAACAGCATTAACAGGCTGTTCCTTTGGCCCTCAACCCTCACCACTTCTTCCACTCTTACTCACTCTCCTACACTTTTGCCATTTTGCATGGGTCACGCACGCAGATATCAACAGGTATCAACCTCGAACATAAGGCGACACCTGCAGTTACCGTCTCAACTTGTTGTGCATGACGTCCAAATGTGTGCAGCACCCAACCATGCAGCACCCAACCTTGCAGAACCCAACCATGCAGCACCCAACCATACAGCACCCAACCATGCAATACCCAACCATACAGCACCAAACCATGCATCGCCTTAGCAGGACGCACCTGCTCGGCTACCTGCTGGTGGCGAAGGCTAAGGTCTCCCAGACCCACTGCCTGCGTGTGCAGCGCCCAGGCTCGGTTCCCCATCCGACTCCCCTAGTATATGCATGTCGCCATAGGCTGTGAGAGGATGGCAGGCAGCATGATGAGGGAGGGAGTGGGGGGGAATCAGAGGAGGGTAGGAGGTTGGACTGGAGGAGAATCGAGGGGGGAAATGGGGAGAAGAGGAAAGGGTTGGAGGCAAGAAGGGGATTTCGATGTCTTGGAAGGGGTACATAAAGGATGGACCTTATTGCCCATAACACAGAATGAGGATGATAAGGAGCAAAAGTTGGTGGGGAGCAGGAGCATGCATAGGGAGAGAAGCAGGGAGGGAGAAGGCGGCGGCGATGATGGTGGTGCCGTTCATCGCCATTTGACTCGCCATTGCTAAATCGCCATTCGATTTACTGCTCTTGCAGCTTCGACACCTGCGATGCTCGCGACGCCGCCTCGCAATCCACGCTGTGCTCGTGAATTTCTTGGCGCTCGTGGATTTCTTGGCGCTCGTGGAGCAGCTAACGATGCGCGTGACATTTGCTTAGTCACTGCCGCCAATAGGAAGCATTAGGGATGACGGCATTAGTATTGGTGTATTAATGACAACTCATACGCGAGTACTCATACTCATATTTCTGTAGCGGTCTGTATGGTTCCGTTAGTTCCGTTATTGCGAGAGCGAATGAAAAGGTTTGTGCCCGTCAAACAGGGTCAGCCACTGCCCTGATTCGTCGACCCGCAGAGATGGCGAGATTTCTGGTAGCTTGACACGCCCTGCTGGCATGCCACGCCACACCACCATCAGACCTGGAATTCGCGAGAGCAGGGTAACTCGACGATACATTCGCAATTGCACGGCTGTTAGCGATGTTCGCCTGTCTCACCCACACAGACCCGAATGAAGCAATCTCGGCAGGAAGCTGGACCTCCTCCACCCATCTCCCCTCAACTCCCACCCTCACCTCTGCCGCTCCCCAAGATTTCATTTTCTAAGCTTTTTGCTAAGTTCATCCTTGGATCCATCGTAAGTTGACGTCGTCTGCATCCCCTGTAACAGTTCCTTTGTTTAGCCGTCTACAGATGTTCACATTCTATTGACGCTTAGAATCACACCTACTAGAAAGTTGCGCCGAACGGTTTCCGAGCCGTTGTGAGTCACAAGCGACAGAAACTTCCAGCGGCGAGTCGCCGCACGGACTCCGATGGCAACAGACGGCGTGAGAAGCATCATTCGGATCGGCTCACTTATCTTACTGACGTGTCTCGCCGTGATTTCTCCAGTCCGCTGTGTCCCGTTTGCCACCTCCCAAGGTTTGATCTTGTTGAGCGGCGAACTTGGCTTTGCCGGCCGCCCTGCCCCCAGTCCCCACCCGCACCTCCAACCCCCCTGTATTCTGTTGCCCTGATGGTAAATCTCATGTCTTATGGAGTCTTGGTGACGGTAGTATGCAGTCTAGGGCTCTCTGCACCACTCCGGGGCGCATTTGGCTCGGCTCTGTAATTGCGCAGACACGTCTCGCCACAGTTCCCGAGTCCTGCTGTGTCCCTCCGCTACAAAGGTTAATATCAACGTCAGAATTTTGAGTTCAGGAGCGGAGGTGGCGTATCACCAAAGTCAAAGTGGCCGCTCATATCCATCAGGTCATGGATCTCGTGCAACGTTTGCTTGCAGATTGACTGGCCAACTTGAAGCTCGGAACAGCAGCAGCATGCAAATTGATTCCCAGCATGAGCGATATCCACACGTGGAACAATTTCCTCGTGCTTGCCCATCACACCTGTCTTTTCTGATGTCTGGTGCTGGATTTGAGAGGGGGAGGGAAGGCAGAGTAGATGGGCTGATCAGTTCATCTCTTCTTACTTGTGCCTGCACCTCCTCAAGAGCAGGCAGATATTCTCACCACCTTTTTCTGTCTCCCGCTCCCTTGCAGCTCCTCGCAGCCAGTGCAATTCCTGATAACTGGTTTCCAACACGCATAGTAGGGGGGGAAATTTGACGTGTGGGTGGCTTGCTGTCATGGGTGGATGGATGCAACGTGGGTCCATTCCACAGTCGTGCGGCACAGGCTGATGAGTGCGGCACAGGTGATGAGAGCTGATTTTTCCTTCCTCCGTTCAATGTCCCACCCCGTCCCTCTATCCTTCTCTTGCCCTCCGCCCCCCCTTCTCCCCAACCATTCTCCCCCCACCATCTGCCACCAGTGCAAGTCCTGCTGGACTTGCAGCAGACATTGGAGCGACTTTTTTCTGGGTGGATGGCTGGGGGAGACTGCACGCGGGCCTACAATTTGCAGTGCGATGCCCAAGGCATGGTGACCGAAATGTGAGAGCACCAACCCTAGTTTGACTTGCAAACCCCATGTGTACACCAATTCCAACTATTCCATGCCCCTCGGCATGCCAACTAGTGGTCTCTATTCTCTCTATCTCCACCGTCTTGCATGCTCTGTGATTGCAGTGCCGTGCTGGCCATGCAATCTCCTGATGTCTTTGTGCGTTTCTTTCTATTTCTATTGCACTTCCCTTTCTTTATGAGCTGCTTTTCCCAGTGCCCGCTCTTTCGAGACCACCCTCTGATTAAAATGCACCCATTTAGAATGGTCTTACCGCTTCTGGAGGCATGGAGAAGGCAACTCAGACATATCTTTGAGGCACAAAGTGTAGGCGAAATAGTGTTTTACAGAGGTAGAGAGCAGGATGGACACAGCTCTAATAACTTTTATTTTAATACACGCAGGTCAGAGCACTAGTTGGCATGCCGAGGGGCATGGAATAGTTGCAGCTACAGAAGCTACGTGCGTGAAAAGACTGGTGCTGGAGTTTTTCAAGGAGAAGTAGTGCAATTGGGCGAGTGGAAGGAGGGAGGCTGCATGGTATTTACAAGAGGCGTGGAAAAAGTTCCCAATCAGTGAGGCCGCCTGGGTAACGGTTCTGGGGGCCTTGCTGGAGGGGTTGCTCCGTGCTCAGGGTTCGCACTTGGGACTTCGTGTGGGGACGAATATCATTCAACCTGCTGGTGCCATTAGTTGGAAGCCAGCAATCTCCCTCCGAATGTCATCACCGAGCCAAAGTACTATTTGAAAGCGTAGAAACTGAACGTACACAATCGTAAGCGAAGCTTGGCATAATTTTATTCTATCAAACTATATCACAACCCCCTTCCCCCCCCCCCCCCCCCCCTTACTCCTCCCCCTCCGTTTCACTCCATTCCACATGGGTGGCAATAGTTGGGGCCACAGCAGGGTTTAGTCGAGGGATAAGTAGAGACATAGGTTGAGGCGGGGGTGGTGTATAAGGTGTTGGTGTTAGCCCTCAATCT